CCCACATAAATCCTATTTTTGAAATACAAGACTCCCTTCAGTAATTTCCAGTCCTGTAATTGATCTGGATTAATAACCAGAATAGGTTTATTTTCTTGAGCTAGAGCATCTTCTTCATAACTCTTTTCAATATCTTGTATCCAACTAGGAGTTATAAAAGTAACTCCCATTTGATCAAATTCACCAGAATCTATTTGTTGTCTAGAGAGTGCATCTGCAGCTTTATTAGACTTACCTTTCCTGTACTGAATAATATAATCCAACCCTAATAACTTTGTAAGCCCTTTCCTCTGAATAGTTGTAGTTAACTTCTGATCAAGTAAATGTTTCAAGGACTCATGATCTGTTTTAATGACAAAAGAACCACTCTCTAGATAATGCCTCCAATGTGAAACTGCCATCAAAATGGCCAAATACTCCTTCTCATAAATGGATAGATCTGCATGTTTAGGACCCAAAGCTTTACTCAAATAGGCTATAGGTCTTCCTGCTTGAGAAAGAACAGCCCCAATCCCTTTAGAACTCGCATCAGTTTCCAAAAAAAAATTCTACTCAAAATTAGGCAAAGCCAAAACTGGAGCATTACACATAACTTCCTTTAACCTTTCAAAGGCTGTAATAGCTTCTTGAGACCAATAAAACCCATCCTTTTTCAACATATTTGTTAAAGGCTTACTCAGTTCCCCATATCCTCTGATGAATTTTTTGTAGTATCCAGTTAAACCCAAAAATCCTCTTAGGGCTTTCAGATTTTTACGCAAAGGCCACTGCTGCATGGCTTTAATTTTTGTAGGATCTGTAGCCACCCCATCAGCTGATATTAAATGCCCTAGATATTTCACTTGCTGCTGTCCAAAGAAGCACTTACTTCTTTTAGCATATAACTTGTTTTCCAGCAGCACCTCCAACACTGTTCTTAGGTGCTGTTTATGCTCTGCCAAGCTAGGACTGTAAACCAAGATATCATCAAAAAATACAAGAACAAATTTCCTTAGATATGCTCCAAACAAATCATTCATTAAAGCCTGAAAAGTAGTTGGAGCATTAGTAAGACCAAATGGCATTACTTTAAACTCATAGTGTCCTTGATGAGTCCTAAAAGCAGCCTTGTAAATATCTTCCTCCTTGATTCTAATTTGCCAATATCCTGACCTCAAATCAATTTTTGAGAAGAAAGCAGCCTCATTCAATTCATCTAACAAATCCTCCACTATAGGAATAGGAAACTTATTTTTAACTGTAGTAGAATTAAGTTTCCTATAATCCACACAAAATCTCCAAGTTCCATCTTTCTTTTTAATAAGTAAACATGGAGAAGCAAAAGGACTTTTACTCACCTGAATAATAGAAGAGGACAGCATTTCAGTAATCTGTTTCTCAACTTCAGCCTTATGATGATGAGCAAATCTATAAGGTCTAAGGTTTACTGGTTGCGTTCCCTGTTTAAGGACAATTGCATGATCATGTTGTCTACTAGGAGGCATTCCTCTTGGTTCTTCAAAAACTTCTTTAAACTCTTCTAGTAGGTCTTCTAGTGGTAAAGGAATTTCACTGCCTTCTACTTCAGCACTTAACAAATAAATCTCTCCATTCAATTCAGTGTCCTTTTCTGCTAACTTCTGTAATTTGTCACCTGTGATAGATCTGATTAATGGTAGCTTCTGAGACCCTTTAATAACTACAGTTTCTCCATTATTCTCAAAACTGATAGTTTTAGTTTTAAAATCCATCATTATAGGGCTGAATTCTTCCATCCAATCCACCCCCAAAACCATATCACTACCTCCCAGAGCTAATACTCTAAAGTCATGCTGAAAATCATAGCCTTGCATCTTCCAGCTCACCTTATTACTCCTAGCAGTACTGAACAGCTTCTCCCCATTAGCTACTGTGATGACTAATGGTTGGGTATGTACTAATTCAACCCCTTCCTTGGCCCATTTAGGAGTTACAAAACTATGGGTGCTGCCACTATCAATTAGCACATTAATAGGTTTTCCTCTGATAAAACCTTGGATTCTCAGGGTAGTATGCCCCACATTCCCTGTAATAGCATTAATAGAAATTTCCAGAGTCTCTTTAGCTTGATCTTCCCCCTCTCTAATCTCTCCTTCTACTAATTCTTGTTCAGGCTTCTGAGACCCTTTAATAACTACAGTTTCTCCATTCTTCTCAAAACTGATAGTTTTAGTTTTAAAATCCATCATTATAGGGCTGAATTCTTCCATCCAATCCACCCCCAAAACCATATCACTACCTCCCAAAGCTAATACTCTAAAGTCATGCTGAAAATCATAGCCTTGCATCTTCCAGCTCACCTTATTACTCCTAGCAGTACTGAACAGCTTCTCCCCATTAGCTACTGTGATGACTAATGGTTGGGTATGTACTAATTCAACCCCTTCCTTGGCCCATTTAGGAGTTACAAAACTATGGGTGCTGCCACTATCAATTAGCACATTAATAGGTTTTCCTCTGATAAAACCTTGGATTCTCAGGGTAGTATGCCCCACATTCCCTGTAATAGCATTAATAGAAATTTCCAGAGTCTCTTTAGCTTGATCTTCCCCCTCTCTAATCTCTCCTTCTACTAATTCTTGTTCAGCAGAATCAGTAGGTTCCTCTTCCTCCATACAGTTGAGCTGTCTCACTTTGCACTGATGTCCGGGAGCAAATTTTTCCCCACATTTAAAACACAAGTTATTGACTCTTCTGTAATCCAATAAACTCTGTTTGTTACTAGTATTAGGAGGAGTTGTCTTAGGCAAAAACCCCTTATTCCCACTGCTCTGTTGAATATTTGAGGGATTATAAGAAAAAATTTTGTTAGCCACTTTATACTTCTTCCCTTCAATCTCATTAGCCAATTCATAAAGTTTTGCTTGCCTGTAAGCTTCAGATAACTTCTTTGGCTCTAACACCTTCACCTTGTGCTTTAATTCTTCCTTGAGACCACTAATGAAGCTTGACACAAAATAAGCCTCCTCCAGATGCATGTTCTGTTGCAGTAAATAGGGTTTTAGCTCTTCAAATTTTTCTTGATATTCCTCCACACTCCCCTTCTGCATCAACTTATTGAATTCTTCAATAATATCAGAATAGTTTCTGTCCCCAAATCTGTGACACAAATCAGCCTCAAATTCCTGCCAAGTAACTCTATATTTCTGCAATATATAACCATCAAACCAGGTTTCAGCCTTCCCTACTAAGTACATAGCAGCTAATTCCAGTTTTTGCTCCTCTGGAATTCCAAACAAATTAAAGAACTTCTGACATTTCCTAATCCAGCCCCTGGAGTTGTTACCATCAAACATTGGTAACTCCAATTTGGGTCTCTGTAACACAACATTTGTATTCCCAAAAGGGTTTTTACAGTAGCTTCTATTATCAACATATTCATCTCCTTCCCCCTTAGTCTCACTAGAATTACCCATCCTATTTTCTTCTTGCAACTTTGGATTAACAGTTTGATGACCAGTAAACCCCACAGGTTTAGAAGCTAATATCCCAGGTTCATTCGGTTGAAAAGTATATTTCTCATGCTCGTTAAGAACCGTAATCAAACAGGGTTGTTTACCTCCATTTTTGTCCTGTTTCTCAACTGTTGTTGGTTGGTTCTTCACTGACTGAGGTGAATCCTTCTCCTCAGCTGCTTGATTGACCAGCTGCAGGATTCTCTGCAAATACCCCCTGTTCTCAGTCATTCCTTCTTCTAGTGTTTGAATCCTTCCTTCCAACTCAGCTTTCTGCTCGGTCCACCACGACGGTAAAGATTCCTCTTTCACCTCCATGGTCTGTTCTGTTACCTCACTGGTTCCAATCTTCTGCATCTTCCTTGTCTTTCCCAGCTTGAACTACTTGATTTTGGATCACAAAACCAGCTCTGATTACCAATTTGTTATGTTTTAGGATCAGAAATAGAAGAATTTTAGGGATTTCAGAAATAGAGAGATTTTAGGTATAGAAAACGTTCTTCATTCATAAGATGAAAAAAATCCTTAAAGGATTGGTACAAGTTATATATCTACAGTACCAGCTGTCCAAACAGAATCTAAAACAAAATAACCACCTATGCTGACTCACCATTCCCTCGTTTATCACCAGACTCTTCTAACAGACTCAAGCCCCATCTTAAAGGCCCAACAGTAATTAAAAGAGAATTAATCTATAGACCCATTAACCCCTCATATGTCTCATCCGACTCTTCTAATTTCTTCAATTCCCAATTCTTCAGGTATCTCGATCCCTAATTTCCTTCGAGTCTCCCCCAATTTCTGTTGTTTTTTCCCAACTCTTCCCTTCGCGATTTCCCCCAAATCAACACTATCAAACCCTAACCTTCCTGTCATCATAACATAGTACTTCTTGTCAACAGCAAAATGGGTTTTTGACAATGGCTAGATGTTAATGGTCTATTCCAGATGAAGTGGTGTCAAAGAACAGTTATAGAGCAAGGAATTGAATTATAGCAAAAAAAATTTACCTATTTTCTAGCATTAGAGGACACTCTAGATACTGAAACACCCGGCAGAATCGCCTGTAATGAGTTCCTTAATATCTGGAAAAGCAAAAATAAAATCCAAATGCTTCAGCTAAATAAACTATTGAGATACGATTTTATTCGTTCTAATCTAAATTATGTCGGGTTTAAATATTTTGATTTAAATTATTTCTTTATTTTTAGTTTATATCATTTCATTTTTAAAACTAAATTATAATCTTTTATATTATTAAATTAAATTTATATTGATTAAATAGATTTTTGACTTCGAGACAAACCGAAAATTAATATAAAGTTTTAGCTTGGGATTTCATAGACTATTTATTTCATCATTAACAATCGTAGCAATACAAAAACATAAAACATATTTCAGAAAAGAAAGAAAAAAACATGAAACAGTTGCTGATCCGGAAACAAATATAACAAGATAAAAATACATTTTTTATTCTTGAATAATTAAACTTTATAATATATGTTGGGAACAATCTGCTGCATGACTTCAAGGGAAACCTCCAAACCCACCGCCTACACCAGCTCCACCGCCAAACCCACCACCTGCGCCACCTCCAGCTCCGCCTCCAAATCCACCTCCACCAAATCCACCACCACCTCCAGCTCCCGCTCCGGCACCAAGACCTCCTCCTGCTCCCGCTCCGGCTCCAAACCCACCACCAGCACCCCCACCAATTCCACCTCCACCGCCACCTCCAAACCCTCCACCGCCACCGCCACCAAGTCCACCACCTCCACCGAGCCCACCTCCAGCACCAGCACCCCCACCAAATCCAGCTCCACCACCAGCACCTAACCCTCCTCCACCTCCACCACCACCAAAACCTCCGCCTCCACCTCCTCCTAAACCACCACCAATTCCCGGACGACGACGAAACAGAGTTTTCTCATCCTCAAACCCACCCGCCGTAAGCTTCCTAGCACTAGCAGCAGTACTGCAAATCACAAATGCACCAATAAACAAGACAAGAAGAAGCTTGCAAGAAGTCATCTTTTGCTGATATAACACTCAGATAGATAAATTTGCATGAAGAACTGGGCATCCGAAGGAAGGTTTATATAGCAAAACAAGGGAAGAAAAAAGCCATGGAAGAAGCTTGTAAGAGCACGGTTGAGGTATTAAATTCCGTCCATCTTCATCATCTGAAAGCCATGAAAAAACCCTAACCGTCTTTTGTTCTGGAAAGCATTTGCTTTTATGATTCAGAATCCAAGTTGCATGGACTTTTTAGGGTTTTTAAAAGAGAAAATCGCCTCAGTGACAAAAAAAAGTTATAATATACGATTTTAACCAACTTTTTTTGGATTTGCCAAAATGACCAACAAAATCGCAACGCGAAATAAAAATCGCAACGCGATCCCCAGAATCGCAAATCAGTTTCCAGAATCGCAAATCAGTTTCCAAAATCGCAACGCGATTCTTGAAAATCGCGATGCGATAGTACAAATTCGCATTGCGATTTTCCAAAATCGCAACGCGAATATGAAAATCGCAACGCGAACACATAAATCGCAACGCGTATCCGTAAATCGCAACGTGTATCCGTAAATCGCAACGCGTATGGGTAAATCGCAATGCGTATCCGTATATCGCAACGCGTATCCGTAAATCGCAACGATAATACATAAAATCGCAACGCGTATCCGTAAATCGCAACGCGATATTTAAAGCGCCATTATAATCGCTACGCGTATTTTATTTTCAAATTACAAAAAGAATATTAAGACAAAATCCCGTAATCGCAACTCATAACCTAAAACCTAAAATCACAACTCAGTCCCATCTCCATCTCTCACTCTCTACGGCGAAGAAATCCGTCCCCATCTCCGAAGATTTCCGTCCCCATCTCCGGCGAAATCCCTCACAACCATTCACGGTCAGAAATCCCTCACAATATTCAGAAATGGAAAATCAACCTCCGAGGGTTAGTTTTTTTAATTATTTTATTTTGAAATGTTTGCATTATTGTAGGTTTTTCATATTGAAACTGATGATAAGTTTACTGGTCATTTCAATAATAGATTAACCATTTCACTTAGATTTCATTTCGCGTTACGATTCTGTCGTTGCGATTTTCATTTCGCGTTGCTATTCTCTCGTTGCGATTTTCAAGTTAGTATTTGTCTTTGTCTTTGTTCTGTCTTTTGGTTGAAGTAATGCAATCCATTCAAGTTTCAATTTGCAGAAGAGTCGCAACGAGATAATGAAAATCGCAACGAGAGAATGACTGTCGCAACGAGAGAATCGCAACGCGAAATGGAAATCGCAACGAGAGAATCGCAACGCGAAACCAAAATCGCATTGCGATTTTCATTTCGCGTTGCGATTCTCTCGTTGCGATTTTCATTTCGCGTTGCGATTCTCTCGTTGCGATTGTCATCTCGCGTTGCGATTCTCTCGTTGCGATTTTCATTTCAACCAAAAGACAAAACAGTGTTGCAAATTTTAGTTTAAAGAATAAACTACTACTTTTTATGTTTATTGTTTTTGGTATATCTTCACAGTGTAGTTTTTGGTATATCTAACTTGGTATGTTTATTGTTTTTGTAGAAATTTTTTTCGGCTCAATTGACCTTGAGAAATAAAGTCAGCCTGGCCACTACAATTGCAAAGAAGCTTTCACCTGCTCAAAGACAATTGTTTGAGGAAACCTGCTTCGGGCCATGGCTGAGAGTACAGCATCCGGGTGGAGATGCTAATTTGACCCATTTGTGGCTTCAGACCATGACATCAAATCTACCCGACAGTATACAACGTGGTGAGGAAGAGATATGGTTTCATTTTCCACCAGCGTATACTTGCTTTGGGCGGAAGGAGTTCTGCTTAATCACTGGTCTACGATTCGGACACGATGATGTAGGCCGGTACACTCGTCATATCGCCCGCCCATCATGGTTATCCCGGGTTTTTCCGGATGAGTCAATGGAGAAGCCGAACCTACATGTCGACGACCTGAAGAAATTATTTAATAAGAAAGCTGGTTTCACTCGGATGGAAGACGTCGATGTTGTCCGAGTATGCCTTCTACTACTTGTGTATGCCGGCTTTTTAGGCAGAGAGGCCAGACAACCTATTCATCGGGAGCTAATAATATTGGTAGAGGACCTGAATGCATGGAATCTGTTTCCGTGGGGTTCGTATATATGGAAAGCTACCTGGACTAAGTTGTCGTCTGCCTTTGATGACCGCAAAAGTTTGCGGGGCGATGGGTCCAAATACACTTTGTCAGGCTTTGTTTGGGCCTTTAAGGTAAGAATTTCTATATAATGTTTCTAAAATTATAATTAATTATTTAACAATTACTAATTTTGTTATTATATTGTTTGTAGATTTGGATATTCGAGGCTTTCCCCAGCATGCGTACATATGCAATAAAAACGTCAAATGATATTCCCAGGGCTATTTCCTGGAAGAGGAAAACTCTGTTGGATTGGGAAGACTTAATACCATATGCCACAATAAATAATGTAAGTTAACACAAATACTTTCATATAATATATAAACAAGTTATTAATAGTAGACGTTTAACTTTGTTTGAGTTTTTATATTTTAGGAGGCCAACATTCCATTACAAAGACTGTCACCCACGGAGGAAGAGCTTGCCACTGATTGGTGGCAAGCTAGTCAGAGTTTTTTTGATGGCACGGATGATGAGCAGCATCCACTTCCTCCAATTCGAGAGCCATCACCTCACCTAGAGCCATCACCCGATCGTGACGACTATACACCTCTAGAACGAGAGCCATCACCTATCCCGTCACATCATCGAGCCTCTTCTCCACCATCACCTCATGATAGGCGACCGGCAAAGATGCCACGACTCCTATCTCCCTGTTCTCCACCTCCACATCAACGGGATGAGTCAAGGGAGTTACGTGATGAGGTCAATGCCTTGCGTGAGGAGATCGGTACTCTACGCGATAACGATGGTGCATGGCGTGTGGAGGTGTCAACTTTACGTGGTGAGGTTGCCGCTCTACGTGAGATGATAGTATCGTTGCAGAATGAGGTTCATACTCTACGCAACGAGGTAAGTTTAAGATTTTCCATATTTAACTTAATGATAAATTTACTCGTAATTTCACTTAGATTAGCCATTTCACTTAGATTGCTTAGTAAATTTATTCGGTTGCTGCCAATTCTGCTAAACTGTGTATTCTTTAACACTGTGAAATAGTATTTGTCTTTGTTTTGTCTTTTGGTTGAAAGTAAATTTGTTCGGTTGCTGCCAATTCTGCTAAACTGTGTATTCTTTAACACTGTGAAATATATTTGTCTTTGTTTTGTCTTTTGGTTGAAAGTAAATTTGTTCGGTTGCTGCCAATTCTGCTAAACTGTGTATTCTTTAACACTGTGAAATAGTATTTGTCTTTGTTTTGTCTTTTGGTTGAAAGTAAATTTGTTCGGTTGCTGCCAATTCTGCTAAACTGTGTATTCTTTAACACTGTGAAATAGTATTTGTCTTTGTTTTGTCTTTTGGTTGAAAGTAAATTTATCCATTCAAGTTTCATTTGCAGAAGAATTTATAGTTTACTTTCGCAACACGAAACTTAAAATCGCAACGCGAAACCAAAATCGCAACGCGAAATGAAAATCGCAACGACAGAATCGCAACGCGAAACCAAAATCGCAACGACAAGATCGCAACGCGAAACCAAAATCGCATTGCGATTTTCATTTCGCGTTGCGATTCTTTCGTTGCGATTTTCATTTCGCGTTGCGATTCTGTCGTTGCGATTTTCATTTCGCGTTGCGATTTTGGTTTCGCGTTGCGATTTTAAGTTTCGTGTTGCGAAAGTAAACTATTTCTTCTTCTGCAAATTGAAACTTGAATGGATTGCATTACTTCAACCAATAGACAAATCAAAGACAAATACTAACTTCAGGGTATTAGTTTGAAACATATTTTTCTTTGTTATCTGATGCATTTTGTGAACTATGATAGAATAATGACTTGGGTGAATACAATGCAAGTTTGAAACATATTTGTCTTTGTTTTCACTGTTTAAATATCATGTCTGTTTATTTACTGATTTTTGTATTTAATTATTTAGCGGCCCGATAGAGTGGATGCTTTACGTCGGGTTATGCTTGCACGACGGAGTTCGCGCATCAGACAGCGTGCACGTGCTATTAAGTCTCCGTACACCCCAATAGTGCGAAGACACCGCAAGAAGAAGCCCGACTCGCCTGTCATCCCTCAAGAGTCCACTCCTATCGTTGAAGAGGCCCCCCATATCATTCCTCGAGAGTCCCCTCCCACCGTTCAAGAGGCAACTGTCATCGTTGAAGAGGTCCCTCCCACCATTCCAGAGCCCGATTCACATGGGGTAATATATCGAAGTATTGAGAAACCCCCACCGGTTCCGGACATGATGGATGAGAGTTGGCTCTCGTATGAGTTACCGGCCAGTACCATACCGGTATCTGAAGAGGAGAGGGAACAACTACCGGACACAATTTTGGATAACACCCTTTGGGCTAAGACCGCAGTTGATTTTTATCTACATGAGCGGAGCAAGGGGTGTTTCACTGACATATGCAAGCTCACCGATGATATCTTTTTGTTGCTTGAACGGCCTTGGTGGGGCGTATTATTAGGGGTCGAAGACAATGGCTATTTCGATGGGGGGGTAAGTCTTATATTTTTCTTATATTTCAATTTGATTAATTTTTTTTTTAAATTTATGTAAGTCACTAATATATGTCTTTTTTTGTAAAACAGCATATCGATGCGTGGGTGACACGTCTTCTAATAATAAGAAAACTTAAGAAAAATAAAAATATACGATATACAATAATGCCGACGTCTTTTCACGCCGTTCACTTGAAGAATGCACGAGATGAATCATTTGATTTGGGCAATGGACAAGCTAAACTTTATCCTGCATGGTGGGAGGTCGATAAGGTTAGTATTTATTTTAGATTGAGTTTAAAGGTTTTATGAAATAAGTGCGCAAATGAATGAATTATTACTTATGATTGCAGGT